AAATGTATGTTCATTTCTCTTGTAATTCTACAAAGAAACTGAGAGTAGATACATGAAAAACTAAAGTCAATTTCATAACGTTACTTGAATATTTAAGTTGCAAATAGTTATTTAATCAGATTTATAACAGCATCACAGCAGATCAGGCAGCTGAGTTGCACTGATTTCCATTGCTGGTTATGCCCTTTCAGTGGGTCCTGAATCCTGAGTAATATCTTTCATTCTCATATACTTTTAAAAATATGCAAAAAAGCATAAAGCCATAAAAAAAATAATTACAAATGACCAGAAACAGTGCTGATAGTTTCTTTTTACTTTGATTAATAATTTGTACCTTAAAATTCTTGGGGTTATATTTAGATGCAAAAATTAAACAACAGATCTATTCAGAATAGATCTAGTTGTTATTCTGTGTTTTCCTCCCCAGTTCCCAGACTACTGGAAATTTTGAAGGGCTGAATTGAAAGGTACTGTTAATTGTCTTGATGGACCAGAGGCTTTGTAGAGGGATTTAGGTATGTTGGAACATTGGACCATCAGCAACAGCATGAAATTTAACAAGAGTAGCTACTAGATTTTGAGATGGAGTAATGCCAAACACAAGTACAGACTGGGAGATGACTGCCTGGAGGGCAGCTCAGCAGAAGGTTCTGGCAGTGTTAACAGACAGAAGGCTCAACATGTCCCAGCAGTATGCCTGGGCAGCCAAGAAGGCAAGCTGTGTTTTGAGGTGCATTAAACACAGCATACCAGCTGATCAAAAGAAGTGATTCTCCCACTATATTTAGTGTTGGTACAGCTTCATCTTGAATATTGTCTGCAGTTGTGGGCTCCTCAATATAAAAAAAGAAGTTAGGGTCCTTGAAAGCGTCCAGGGAATGACAACAAAGCTGCTAAAAGGATTTGAAGTCATGTCCTGTGGGGAGAGGCTGACGACACTTGGGTTGACTAATCTGGAAAGGGGAGATTGAGAGGCAACCTCATTGCACTCTGCAACTGCTTCAGAAGAAGTGAAGAAGGAGGTGCTCATCTTTTCTCCTTCTTATTAGTGACAGGATGTGTGATAATTGCTCAGAACTGTGCAAGGGAGTTTCAGACTAGACATTAAAGTTTATTTATTGAGAGGTTAGACACTGAAATAGGGTTTGTAGATAGGTGGTCATTGCTCTGTGCCTGTCCATGTTTAAGAGGCATTTGGATAATGCTCTTAATGATATGTTTTAAATTTGTGGCAGCCGCAAAGCAGTCCAACAGCTGGATTCAGTGATATGTACGGGTCCCTTCCAAATTAAGCTATTCTATTCTCTTCTGTTGTATTCTATTCTGTTCTAAGTTATGATAAGAGAAAGAAATGAAATCTTGGGGATTGTTGAGGCTAAGCCTACTCTCATCTATGGAAATAAAGATCAAGAATTTATGAAAATACCACTTAAAGATACTGGCATTAAAGGAGCTACAGTGAGGGTAATATACCTCGTAAGGAAAAAAAAACGGAAATCAAGACAAGCATGACACACCCATTCAGGGAATGTTATTCTGCCTTCTTAAATTGCATTTAATTGATATACAGGTTTCTAAAATCTTCACGATAACCATGCTGTGATCCATACATATTCTTCAGAATTGCAACCTGCTAGGCACTTTAGTGAAACAGGTTCCTCTATCACGATCCAGACATTTCCCTGGGCACTATACGCACCTTGAAATTCCAGTTCTTAAGAAAAAACTTCTGCCTTCTCTCGGAGTTCTATATAAATGGTTTGGACATACAGCTCCTGAATTCCTCACATAACACCAGGGAAGGTTCCAGAATAATCCTGCAATAACAACAGTGCTCCTCTTTTGCCCCATGTTTTAGATATGGTCCAGACCAACGGAGACTGGACTCCCGTTTCTGCCCTGACTGTAACTATGTGGGATATTCTCCATGGAAATACATTTTGCCTTTCCTCTTGATTCTGAGCAGCTGGAGCTTGAGTAAGAATAGGAGTCACAGGGCAAGAGGCAGGGCTGTCATTTGACAGAAAGCAGTGGCAGGGAGATAGAGACAAGATATTTTGCCATTTTTATACGTTTTGTTTTGCAGCATTTTTGGGTAGAAGCAAATATAATACAAAGAGAAAACACCAGAAACTTGTGCCTTCTGCCTTTCCAAGTTTTGGGACTTTTAATAGTAGTCAAGATTGGGGATTTTGTTTGTCTGCTCTTTCTCAGAATGTTTCTTGGAGCTCATGTTCTAGAGAAGGGTGCTCTTTCCTGGGATATGCCGCATTACCTGCTGGCTGGAGCATGTTCCTACGATCTGTACAGTGTGTGTGCTCAATTTCGCTTCTAGCCTGCACAATTAGGCCTGAACTTCAGTGTTGGTTGCTGGAAACTACGTACTGATAGTAATACTAACACATGCTGTGGTGCTGAGGTAGTGTAAAGGAATGGTGTATGGGATTGAGATCAGTTCACATGGCTTCCTCTCTGCCCCTCATTACCCCTCATGTGTTTCCCCAGCTCCACCACGAGCTCCCCTGCCAGGAACTGCTCCTGCATGGCTGCCCCACAGGCTGCAGCTTCTTCCAGGACACACTGCCATGCCATGGCACGCTGTGGTGTTTGGAGCACCTCCTCCCCTCTCCCTTTTCTGACCTTGCTGGCTGTAGAGTTGTTTTTTCTACTCCTCTCTCACAGAGCACACGTTTTACCCTCTGTTAAATACACTTTCCCAGAGGCACTTCCGTCTTGGTTGTCAGGCTTAGCTGAGCGCTATGGTGCAGCCATTGGAGCCAGCAGAAATCAGCTGTGTCCAGCACTGGGCAGCCCCAGCCCCACCTCGCACAGGGGCCTTGCAGCCCCAGTCCACATACCCCCACATGCCCCAAACCCAAATGAGGATGACAGGAATCTATCTAGATGGAGGAACTGAAAATTTACTCTATTTTTTGTATAGTGTTAACGGAAGGAAGATGAAGTCTAATTTAGACGTGCTGCATTAGACTTTAAAGATAACTATAGTCCCTGCAGAGGAAGAGGTGTCTGTGATTCAAAGGTCTCCCTAATCAAGTTTTCCAACATGGATACCCATTTTTTTTGGTGACTTTGCATGATTCTCAGGTGTATGTGTGGTAGGCAGATTGAACCAGCTGTCCTGTGAGCAAGTACCTTAAAATTTATGTAAGACTATGGCTAAGTTAGGTAACTAGATAAAATGGACTGCTTTTTTCTTAAGTGGCATTAAATAATTGGGATGTGTAGCTGCTGGGATGTCACAATGAGATGCAGGCACCACAAAGAGGCCCTCTAGTCCTCCATAATACTCTTCTCTCTGTATTGGGAAGATATGGATTTGACAGATAGGGATCTTTGTTCAGTGAACAAAGAACTGGTTGTGAGATCACCGAGTGGTGGTCAGTGGCTCAATGTGCGAATGGAGACCAGTGATGAGTGGTGTCCCTCAGGGTTCAGTACTGATACTCTTTAACATCTTCATCAATGATATTGACAGTGAGATTGAGTGCACATTAAGTGAGTTTGCAGGTTACACCAAGCTGTGTGGTGCAGTCAGCACACCTGGAGGACAGGAGGCCGTCCAGAGGGACCTGGACAGGCTGGAACAGTGGGCTCAGCTGAACTTCATGAGGTTCAACAGACCCAAGTGCAAGATCTTGTACCTGGGTGATAGCAACCCACACTACGAACACAAGCCGGGGTATGAAAGGATTAAGTGCTGCCCTGTGGAAATGGGAAGCTGGACATGAGCCAGCAGCATGCTCTCATAGCCCAGAAAGCCAACCATATCAAAAGAACCACGATTAGCAGGTCAAGGGAGGTGATCCTGCCCCTCTACTGTGCCCTGGTGAAATATCTCTGGGAGTGCTGTGTGCAGATGTAATCATGTTAAAGGGTAGGAAAATATAATGTAAAAGGAGACATAAGTAGATTTGTGTAAAAGGCTAGGAAGAGCAGTGGAAATGTCACAAAGCTACTTAATCAGAGGAAAAAGGCTAAAAACCTATGTGATTTGAGTAGCACTTAAAATGAAACAATGAAGGAATTAAAAGAAAAAGCTTTTTAACAAATAAGTAATTTCTGTGTGCTGTCACTCAGTGTAGTGATAGGGGTTACAATAAGGGTGACCATATTCAGGAAATACAGTCACGCAACTTTGAGAAACTGGTGACTGGCTACTCTGGTAGAAGAACAAAACTCTTAAGGTTCTACTTATGTTACAGTGCATTAACATGACTGAAGAATAAGGTGTACTAAGCTTTGAAAAGTTTGTCTTTCTGTATTGACAAATAACTTCATAATTTTCTTTTTTTTGTTGTTGTTGTTGTTGTGAGAACACTTCCAACATTGGCTTCAAAAACTTATTTTTTGTTGCACTGATGAGCGCTCATTCCCATTTATTCAGCCTCATAACTTATAATGAAGAATTGAGAATTTAAGAGCAACTCATTATTTATAATAACAACAAACAGTATTGTTAAGAATGCAATCATATTTTCATTCGTATTTTCAGTCATTTTTCACTCAAACGTATATTTGTTGTAAACAGTCAAAACCTTAGTAAATGTTACAGAATTATGAAGCACTGCTTTCTTCCTAACTGTTGTATTGATAGCTAATAGGTAGCATAAATTTGCTGTTTTGTTGTTTGTTTGCTTTTTTTTAAACTGTATTTAAAACAAGAATTTAAAAAGAATGTCATATGAAGAGGAAAGAAAAAAATAAAAAGCACACAATTGTATGTGTTCAGTAACTGCTGTGCTGGCATGTATATGTGACCTTTATCAATAATAATTGTTTACTAGTTCACAGGTTTTGTAAGTCTTCTTCACCTTGGTCATTATTGTCTAATAAGTATTTTAATCTGAAAACATGTTTTGAGAAGAGCAACTAATTATGGTGTAGAATTTGGAATGAATGACTAAATGATGTGTGTTATACAGTCTGACCTACAGAAATCTTTAGAATAATATAATAATTTGCATACTTTATTTTTGCAGTGTTTATGGCTGTCCTTTGGCAAAAAAAACGAAAAACGCAAGATAAACAACCTCAAGAACCTGCTCCCAAAAGAAAACCTTTTGTGGTTAAAGCAGACAACTCTTCTGTAGATGAGTGTTATGAAACTGATGGAACAGAGGAGATGGATGAAAAGGAAGAAGAAGAGGAAGAGGAGGACGAAGAAGAGGAGGAATATTCTGATGACAATGATGATCAAGGTGATGAGGAGGAGGATGATGAGGAGATAGATCGAGAAGAAGAAGAGGAGATTGAAGAGGAAGAAGAGGAGGATGAAGAGGAAGGTGAAGATGTGGAGGATGAAGAGGAGGAGGAAGAAGAGGAGGAGGAGGAAGAGGAGGAGGAGGAAGAACGTGGTAATAATCAGAGTATTAGTAAAAAGTAAACACTGTATTTTCTGGGTTAATCTTTTAGTGTGGTGTGTGAGGATATAGCTGTGAAATTCTCATTAAAGCTAATGGAAGTCATGCAGTTAAATCTCTCTGCTCCACACTGAAAATATACCCCACTGTATTCTCTTAACATTTATTTTAATAAGTCTGTCTTCCAAATATTTTTTAATACACCAGCACTCACATTTCAAACAAGGAGGGTGGAGGTATGTTTGTGCAAAAAAAATACTTGCATAAGATATAATTGTGGATTAATGCATGCCTTTACCAAGAGAATATTTACAAAGGTACAAGCAAAGCATCAGCTACAGCTGGATGCCTGTACTGATTGTTTACAAGTGTTTTTGCTGGATCTGCTTATATAATGTCAATGATTGCCCACATAAAACGTATCACAAGTTTTCAGATATTATTTTCTGAGCAAAAATGGGTCTCTTCCCTTCGAAAATTTCCCCCCATATTTCCCAGCCCCACCCTCTGCCAGGAAACTTTTCAGAATTAACTGTAACTATATACTTTGGTTCTTTGAGACTTGGATGCTGTGTACTTTAGTTGATTCTACTGAAACTACAGAGAGAGAAAGGTTTACATAGATAAAGTCCTTCTAAAATCTATATGTATTAGTTATGGTACCTTGGCATAAATGCCCATTATACATACAGGTCACTGGTAGTAACCAAATTAATGTAGTAGTAATGGGATTAACCGATTCAGCTTTCTCTTTTTTTTTGGGATTTTGGACTCTATATAACCAGTATTTTCAAAATATATGACCAGTGTCCATTTACTCATGAGTCCATATGCTGATGACAGACATCATAATGCACTGGGGTGAAATTAAAGAATCATGCAAAAATTAATGAGCTATCTAAAAAATATTTTGTTCCCATTTCCAGGGAACACGTTTTTGGTTGGGTAGATTCACCTTTCTAACCAATAAAAATATAAGAAAAGCTTTCAGCACTCCTCAGTTGGATTCCTCTTAGGAACCAGGTATGAAAGTTGTATGACTTTTGTTTCAGCATTCTGTAAGGTCAGATCTTAAATCTCACAGAAAGACTTTGGAAGTGTTGTTTCCACTTGGGCAAGGTGGTGGCCAGTTGGGTGACTATAAGTATTTTCTAAGATATCTGAACTGTAGCATTTCCTCAATTATTTAAATTTGCAAACAGAATTGAAACATATATGACCAATCTTTAAAGTTATATGAGTTTAATGCAATAAGGAAGCCATTTCATTTAGCAGGGAACTCTGCTGGATAAGAAGCTTTGATAGATCAGTCTGATATGCAACTGCTATTGCTGTCCTGATGGGCAGGTGCAGGAAGTTGAGCAGTTTCTTGAAGAGATAATGGTTACTGAGCTTGTTGGTACTTAGGTTATGGTGCAACTGGTTTCAGCTATCATGAGAAATTCTGAATCTACACTATCAAAAATGTTATAAGGAAAAAAAAGCAAAACTCAAGAGCTCAAAAAAATTGCTTTTGGCAAGCCGGCAGACTTGATACTCAGCATACGAATACTATCATTATGGAACACAGTGGTTTACTTATTCCAACACAGTTATGCATGCAGTTAGCCATCCTAATCAACCTAAAGTGGCTGACGTTGCTTTTTGACTGCTTTCCTTCCATGTATAGTAGGCTGTGGTTAAGAATAGCAAGAATATTACAGAGGTGCCTTTATTAGCTGCTTTGCATATTACTTGGAATTAAAACTCACACAGGTCAAGTTTCTCTTAGGATCCCATGTTACTCCTGTAATAACACATAAAATCACTGATCTCTACATACATCTCTGTGTATAAGTACTTTATGACAAATGTTAGTCACTAGGAAAAAAGACATAAAATGTGAATAATGATAATATTTTATAAGAAAAGTATTATATGATCTTCTGAGAGTAGACATGGTCATCATTGTATGGACAGACTTAGAGCAGAGCTAATCAGATAAAAGATAGAGTTAGCATCAATTCATGAGGAAGATAATGTGGGGCTCCTTGTAACTTAAGGCTGTAGCCTTATAGGCCGAAGGGTGTAGATGAGTAAGAGAGTTTGTTTTTGGTGAGGTATAGAAGCTAATTAATAAACCAGACGTTTTTAGATATTCATTTCTTATAATTTTGAAAGGGATCTTGATGTTTCACTTTCTTCTGCTCATAGCATACACAACACCGGTAGAATTTGGAACTGTTGATTTTCCATGCAAATAGTGCATAGGTTAGGGATTCTGAAAACACATGGACTGAATATGGCGCTTTCCTTTATCTGTTGAGTACATGGGAAAATTAGATCTGTCAGTTCCTAAGTGAGTTGTCTGAATCAGTCACTGCTCAGTACAATTTAGACAGCGTAGTAAACTGTCATCCACCTTTTAAGAAACCATAGCAGGAAGTCTCAATGTATCCTACTGTTCCTTTGTCTAGAAACAAAATGCAGCATTGTGCAATAGACAGTAAGATACCTGCACAATTCTCTTAAATGTTTTTTTACTTGTGCTATAGATTAAAGCAGTTCAGAAAATTATTGTCTAAGAGGAGAAAAGTATTGTCAAAGAAGAGAAAAAGGTTAAAATCTAAGAATGCAAGTATTGGTGCTAGAAGAATTCCATTAGTAGGTACAGGACCACGGAGCCAGCAAGTAAGGGGGAAAAAAAAAAAGGAAGGGTTTTTTCCCATTTCATAGGCAAAATGCAGTCTTCTGTTAGAAAATGACTGATCTTGGGAAACTCTGCTGGCATCTTGTTGCTCTTCCTTTTAGTTAAAATAAAGTGAATTTTGATGAGATTCTCAGAGAACTTCAGGTAATAAAGGTGCAGAATTTTTCCCGAAAATACTTGGATTTTCACTGAACCCATCTCAAACTTTTTGAAAATCACATCTTTCTATCCGTGTCATTGAAAAACTGAAGAACTTGAAAAATAAGAAAATATCCTAAAGCAACACTCTTACAAATCTCAAAATACCAATTTTTTTTTTTTTTTTTAATTAAAATAATCTTTTAGATGTGAGGCCTGAATTCTTTGCTCGTATTTCTCTGTATAATCCACCGAATCAAAATTAATCCTTAAAATTTTCTAGTGGTGGCCAACATATTATCTTTCAGTTTCCACTAAATACACTCAGTGTCTTTGTAAAACATCTCTGTGTCTGTGAACGACTGTTTGTTGGGAAGCCCTGATATTCAGCTCCACCACTAAAGGCAAGATGAATCTTTCCAGTCCCTCATACTCAAGAAAAAAAGGGCAAACAGGTGTTCTTTTTTAAGATAGGCAAATCTGTAAATTGTAATACAAATGGGAAAAGAAAGTAAGAAAGAGTAAGAGAAAAGGCTGATTTTAGAGTGCCCCTTCTTTGTGATGGTAACTGTTGAAACTCTTTGGATTAAAATCTGTAAGGCACATTTGATTTGCAAGGCACACTGAAGTTCTTCCTCCTGAGATGAGCTCACTTCAGATAGTTGGGTCCCAAAGACTGTTTCATAAAGCTTTTCTATTATAGAAAGAAATCTCCGCTGGAGGAGCTTCCGGAACAGATGTTCCAAGGCACCATTTAGCCCATATCATATGAAGACATTCAAGATGGCTTGTACTCCAGGTATTTCATAATCAACCAGGGTCAGGAGGAGGCTTATTCTAGGTCTTATTCAGGCTTACCCTAGGTCTAGAGAAACTTGATTCATCAATCAAATCCATTTCATAAATGATACTACCAAAATGAATGCAGCTTACCAGGAAGTGAAGTGTTAGGATGTATTAAATTTTTAGACTCTCCCTTACATTTTCTAATCAACTCAAATTAGCTGGCATATACAATATAGAAATATATGGTACTGTACTTAATTTATTAGGTAAAATACAAATGTAAAAGTAACTGTGAAACGCAAGTAGTGTAAATTCAAGGAGATATAATAAAATTTTTTTTTTTTTTTTTTTTTTTTAATGAAGGCTAACACTAGAAAATAGGGAGAGATGGTGTAGCAAGTTTCACATTTTTTCAAATTATGGAATTAATTTTAACAGTGTGGTAAAATGTTCCATTTTTCCTCTACTTGCATGAGCTAGACACAGACACACAGGTACTCATAATTTGAAATCCACTTATCAATGTTATTACTGTAGTTAATGCTTCCTCTGTCTTCCTGCTGCCTTCATCAGATTGCTTCTGTAGCACTAATGTATGTCCCTTCAAGCAAGGGGAGACACAGACACCAATCGTGCTGAGGAAATTGTGGTAGCATACAGCTTTCCAACTGTCCTTGCAACTGAAGACACTCGCCATCTTGATAAAATAAAGGTGACAGCTCTGTATTGTCAAGATGGCCTATCAGCCTTCTGGTCATTAATCATTTAATATTATTTAATAATTTAAACTATTGTCAGGAAAGTGGTCATCTGTTTAGTGAACACAATGTTCAGCATTAGACAGAACACAGAGCTGGACATATCATTTACCTCATAGGCAAAGCATCTAAAAGAAGAAAACTGTAGCTTTAAGTGAAGTGGCCAGAAAGCATCATTTCACTGTTTGGAAAGATGCATCTGGATAGAAGTGCATTTTTCAGGCCCAAGGAAGAATTAGTAAATACCTAACAGCCTCAAGAGGGTAAGCAGATATTAACCATCTGCTAATAGACTCTATTGCTATATAATTTCGTCTTCTTTATAAAAGAAGATACCTTGTGCATAGGATATCTCACAGATAACAAGATAAAAAAGAAGAAAAAAGAAAGAGTTGCAACTGACAGTCATTTATCCTATCTGACATATTGATTTTCTCTAAATAAGAAGTTAAAGTTGCTTTAATGAACTAGTTATGAAGTACACAAGCCTGGAAGTGCTTGGGTCAAGCCAGCACAATTTTTATTGATGTCTTTTTTCTCCATTGAAGATACAAATGTAGACTAGAAGTTCTGATGTTTAGCAGTTTATATTATTTCATGTGGAGACACAGGGACTAGAT